CTTTTTTTCGTGCGTCAGAAAAATAAATAAAAATAAAAAAGCCTTCGGCCACCAACTTAATCCAATCGCAGGACGATAAGTCATGCAGTGCTTATTCTAGTGCTTCTAATCAGGATGAGTTTGTTTACATAAGAAGATTATGACTTGGACTATGTTTTATATTGTTATTCCATTCGTTTGATTTTGTGTAATACTCTCCGAAATTTTCGGGATTTGACAATATGTCTACATTTTTAATAGCGGGTAAACGCACTAATTTAAAATGAAAAATATATTATATACGGATAATCTTATGTGCAGTCAATCAATCTCGTTGGAACATACGTGATTGGTTGTCCGCATATATAGAGTCTGTTTGAGGCAGTTGTAACTGTGAAGCTGTTGAAGAATAAACTACTATTAAAAAACTTATGGTAGCTATGATAAAAAAAAATTTTAAAAAAAAAGTCAGACTGTAGCATTCTAGCAACTAATGCAGGTAGCCATATCTGCAACATTTTGAGAACAAGGACAAATGTCAATTTTGTCAAACAGAAAAAAACATGATACAGTACCACACCGACCCGTACCATCACCCCAAACACACCCATAATTATTTGTATGGAATGTTTTCTCTATTAAAAGTGTGCTGAAAGCATGACCCATAGTTTTGATAACTATGGTCAAATAAAATAATGGAGCGGTGACTTTTTTCATATATACCACCGTCAGAATCTGAGATTTGAATACTTATAAAAAAAAGAGATATATTTATTATTAATGATACTAATGGCAATTAAAAACATATGCCAAATATAAAGAATCAATCAAGTTGCATTGAAAAAATGAAAAAGTTAAATATTGTCGTGTTTATCATAAAAGTCTTAAATCTGATTTGATATGCGACGTTGAATTAACGATGTAATGTGAAAAGTGTTCGTCGGAAGATGACTGTGTGCTAACTAAAAGTGAGTGGGATGATTGATTGAAAGAACTCTCAAGTGTTTCCTCGTGAATATTTTTACGAGCTAAAAATAAAATTTTGAAAATTGTTCACAAATTAGACGGTCTTGAGCTTCTTTTACCTTATATATATATACCAGCTAGTAATCTACCCTTGGCCAGTCAGACCAGATCAAGAAAGCTAGCAAGTCTTTCAAATTGAATTATTTAAGAATGAGAAAAAAAATATTTATCGATCTGGACTCAGAGCTCATTCATTTGCTATAATTTGCGTTGAGGATATCAATAAGTTACCATGCCACCCAATCTAATTAATATGGCATCCATACCATCAACAATGTGGCAGGCCACAAACATACCCAAGGAAAGTTTAAGATACAGTGTATGTCCAACAAAAATTCCCCCTCAACAAAAAAAAAAATGAAACATATATATATATATATATATATAAGCTTCTGAGAATTAGGATCGGGTCCCTCTATGGAAAGGAGGTGTTACTCCCTCAGTGTGTGTGTGTGTGGAGATGCACTTATCAGCTGCTGAGCAAATATTAGAGTCGGTTTTGATATTTGTGGCAGTTTTTTCATTGATTTTACGTCCAATAATTTGAGACAGAAAGTATTCTTAAAACGGTGAAACTTTAAGTGGAATTGCGATGAATTTTGCTTCTAATTGCATCTAATAAAGCGACACAAAAACTTTACTTACTAATGTCGAACTATATCCAACGCAAATGTGTTGGAAAGTACTAAAAACCTAAAATACATATCCCACACACCTACATTCATTTATCTTCTCTGCACTTCTTTTTGTCTGAAACCCTTGCAACCTCCCCCTCTCTCCCTCCAGTGCGGTTTCATTTAAAACCATCGCCTTCGCTTATGAACCTTCACGATCTAGTTGCCATTAGTGCTAGCTGGGAAGGTGCAGTTGGAAGGTAGCTTATAAAGACCACTGAAACTCTCATATTTCTCATTTGTCTGCTCTGTTCCTATCAGAAAACATTGAGGAAGGTAAGTTTATTTGTGCCACTCTTTTTCATTTTAACTTCTGAAAAAAAAAATGTATCTTTTGATGTGTAATGTTTAGGTGTTAGGTATGTACTAAAATCATGGGGCTTGTATGAAAATCTTCATGCATAGGTAATGTGGTATGCTTGTAAAAATTGAAGCTTGGGTGTTAAGAATTGAGTGAAATGTATTAAAATCTTCGTGTGTATAGAATGTGGTATGCATGTAAAAATTGAAATTTAGGTGCTAGGTATGTATATATATAAGAGTTGAGTGGTATGTATGTATGAAAATCTTCGTAAATTGAGTCTGTGCATTGATCTCATGAGAAACGAATGAACTCTCAAAATCCAGAAAAGTTCTAGCTTACAGGTTTTAAGTCCAGCCTCGTGGCTCGAATTTTGGTGATTTTTGAAAGTGTCTAAATCTAGTTTTTGCAAAGAGGAAAATCCTAGTTTAAATATGTGAGGTATTGCAATGAATGAGAGCATCTCCCCTGATTTAGGTCCTAAAAGCTTTGGGTTAACAAAGTGATAGAATTAATTGTGTGAATAATGAACAAATCTCTTTCTTAGCCCCTCCGGATGAAAATAATAATTCTTGGGCATCAAACAAGTTTAGTTCCCTAAAACGAGTAAAAATTTTAGGATTCAGTATTTCCTAACAAGATTGCACTAGCCTAAGAGCAATATTTTTATTCTCCCAAGTTAATGAATTATAACCTAGTTGTTCCAGTAAGGATTCTTCTGAAACATAAAGATCAAAATGAGTCTTAAAAACACAATTGGTTAGATTGAATGTAAATGAAGATTGCATTTTAAACTTCACCACAATAAAGTTTCATGTAAGTCATATCAACAAAAATTAAACTCTAGAACTTATTCTCACCAAATCAGAAGAGAAATGAGAATTAGTAACTATACATGATGTTAAAGCAAAACAAAACATGTTTTATTAATCAAAGAAAATATAGTATACACATTTTAAAAAAAAATGTTGGGAAAGGTTAAACCCTTGCTTTGCGATTTTGTTCTCCACTCGTCTTTCTGGTTCATTAACTAGCACTAATACTATCAAACAAAACTCCATACCGATCCCTCCAATATACTCTCACAATCTCCCTCATAATCCCTTTACCTCCCTTACAAAGTTTCACTCTTTCACCAACCAAGAAGATCATGAGAGATGCTAGAGACCCCTTTTATCCCTCTTGAATGTTCAATATATTCCCACGAATCGCCAGACAAGAGCTAACTACCACAACTTACTCACCAATGCAAGTGTTATAGATGGCTCAAGGGTGTTTGTTATTCTGTAATAAAACCAGATTAAAACTTTAAAAGTTGCACTAGGTTTCTACAAAAAAGATGCTAGAATTTTCCCTCTCGGTTGGACTTGCATGGGAGTTGGCGTATACACACCCCTAAGTGGTGTAGCCACACCACATTGGCATAGTTATGTCATATTCATGTGCCAATCAACCACATCCCTACTCCATTCTCTTGGTCATTCTCTTGGCTAGACTTTGTGTGGAAAGAAAATTGCTTGGTGCTTTTAGAATAGAATGGGATGCTTCCTTTTAGTTTACTCAAATGCCTCTGTATAGATCATTAAGCTCTCTTTAGTAAATTTACCCTGTAATTACACATATAAATACTAGAAATAAAGGTACATAACTAAAGTTATATGATACCAGAGTTAACTCAAACCACCACAGAAAAAAAAAATGTGGTTACAACCAACACACTTGAAAATAAAAATACAACACGATACCAAAAAAATTAAAATAACAACAGACACGACACAAACACTTAACTATGGTGGATCCCAATTGGTGATGGTCGATAAGGGCTTGGAAAAGTGGTGCCAAGAGGGTGGGTGGATTGGGTAGTGAAGAAATGACTAAGGTTGTTCTGGGCAGCGAGAACATTAACTTGTCGGTGGGGATGCTTCCGGTGGCTGGGACGACAACAAGGTAGCACGGGGAGTGGTCTTGGGCAGTTGGAAAGACAATGATAGTGTCAGGGAGCTGCTAAAACAACAACCAGACTACAAGGATGTAGTTCAAGGGCAGGAACAACAGCGGACATCAAGGCAAGGGGCTCATCGGGTCACGTTAGCAAGGCAAAAGGTTGGGAGAAAGTGGAAGGAATGTTCAAGGGAGGTTAAGATAGCAGCAAGGGTGTTGAAGGAATGATTTTGGACGGTTGACAGTGGGCATGCGACGGTTGGGAGAGTAGAAATTGTAGGAAGATGATCGAGAGGTGGTTTTTAGGGCGATTGCAACAAGGAGGAATGTGTGGCAGCAAAGCAGGAGGGATGTGGAGGAACTGTAGGAGGATGCACCACTCTGAGAGCGAGATATAGTCGGAACTCCACTCAACTTTGGATACAACCCTATAAGGGACCTGGACGCCAATGACCGTCCTTATAGAAACATAAAGAAAATTGATTTAATACACGAAAACAATATTTATAATACTATGGTAACTAAGGAGTAGCCCCCTATTGAAGGGTCGACAATCCTACGCCTCAGATGGGCCGAATAACCCTTGATTTATCTGGACCGGAAGATTCTCATTCTTGCGTCGTAAAATCCTTTGAGACGGCGCTCATGAGAAAAGTCATATCCATCACTATAATCTTCCAACAATCAAATCTACAAATTAAAAAAATAATCTAAAAATCTAGAAAAAAATGACCGAAATTTGTTTTAATATGAGATGGAGAAATCCTGGCGGAACCTCTGCCTTATTTTTCTTACATTCGGAGCCACCGGTAAATCGAGATGCCTTCTATTTAAAAATGCATGGTGCTTAGTCATCAATTTAGGTGCGGCCAAATAGAAACTCCTGTTCAATAATACAATACAAACCTGTTGCCAGCCGTAAGATTGCTTCAATAGTTGTGGGGAGTACAAACTAATGAAGATCCTCGTGTGAAATCCGACTACTTAAGAATTCCTCTCTCTTTGCACATTATCTGGTTTCTTCAAGCGGGCCCCGCTCTAGCCCGGGTTTACTTTTGACCCATACCGACCGCGACTCTTCTTCTTCTAGTTTTGAAATCTCCCTTTCTCTCTCGCCCTTTGGTTTGGCCATCTCCTTGTTGTGTCCTTGGATCTCGCTTTCTCCCCTGTAAATCTCCACCACTTGTCTCGGCTCCGTCGAAGCCCGGCTTCTTAATAGTGTTGGCATACTTCGAAGCTGAACTTAATCGAGCCGCAGCTCATAAGAGTATACTCTCTCTTTCACACTATGCTTGTTACTAGAATGAACTTCTTATGGATGATTGGATGTATTCTGTTTTAGGAGGAAGAGAGCGATTTTTGCTTTGAATCTGTAACGTTGGTTGCTTATTTTACTAGGAAGAAAGTGAATTTGAGGAGCTTTCAATCTCTGGGAAAGTGGATATTGGGGGTTAGGTTTGTGGGTGCAGGAATTGGATTTTTAAGGAGCATGATATTTTTTTTTTTTTTTTTTTTTTTTTTTTTTTTTTTGGAAAAAGGGCTGTTTTTTTTTGAAAAGATTATTAACGTTGGTTGCTTATTTTACTAGGAAGAAAGTGAATTTGAGGAGCTTTCAATCTCTGGGAAAGTGGATATTGGGGGTTAGGTTTGTGGGTGCAGGAATTGGATTTTTAAGGAGCATGATATTATTTTTTTTTTTTTTTTTTTTTTTTTTTTTGTTGAGAAAAGAGGCTTGATTTTATTGAACGAATTCTATTAATTTCAGGACACGTGCTTCTTTTTCGACTGCTAAGTTGCTTGTGAATTAGATTGAGTTGGAGTTCAGTTGCAGTAAGGCTTTAGGGCATTGCGATGTGTTACTGGTTTAATGCTTCCATTTTCTTATTTTTTTTGGTTGAAATTAGTGTATGCGATGTGAATGGGGTACCCTTGGGTGGTTATCCAATTGAAGCTGGCGATCAAGTGATCTTCATTAGAGAGGGCTTTATGGGATTGTTTGGGTACAAACAAACATTTAATTCAAGTAGGATTTAGTGATTTTCTAATTCAGATTCAGTAGATTTTGGAGCTATTAAATCTTGAAAATTATTTGATATGATAAATGTATAATTAGATTAAAACTTAGTATTGGGCCCTGATTTATTTGTGGATTCACAACAACAAGGAAATAGCTAGAATAAGGAGCATATTTGAGCACAAAAAACAGGGGAAAATAGGAAAAATTAAGTCCCTTCTTTGCCATCTTTCCCTTTTTTTCTGATCAGCGATGGATGCCACACTTTTTTGTCAGCGGCAAGGCATTCATAAAGCTTGTACCTCTTTGACCGCTTCAAAATGTTTGACAAAGTGGTTTACTTGGCACAACAAGAGTTCATGTTTGGCCCTTCAATATTCCTCGTGCTGTGAAGATAGAAGAGTTCCCCAACATTTTCTATGAGGATGAGCTCCTTTTCTACTAGGTTTAGTTTAGACTAGGATTGTGACTTCCTCTCTGCTGAAAATTTATTGTCATACAACTACGGCGTCATCCTAACACACATGATCCCGAACTCGATAATAGGTATCACCACCTTGGTGTAGTACATGAGGAAGAGGTGGATTCCTTGGACCAGAGACTACCTCTTTATAGTTAAGACATACAAGGACAAATTCGTCTATTTCTCTAAGATCGGGATCAATTTATTTAACTTGGAGAATAAAATGAAAGACTGGAAGAGGAGGTGGTACTACGCCTTGTGCATGAGTGGTTGACCAAATCACAACTCATCCTCACCTAGTTTTGATGGAAAAACTCATGATGGCGTCGATTTCAGATGTGAAGAAGAGAGTTATGACTCACGTAGGTCAAATTAGAAGTAAAGTCCTTAATAGAGCTCAACTTTGTGGGGGAGGACTTTAGCTCATAAATAGTTTACCTCAGTTATTTTTTGTTTGTTTGAATGTTTGTTTTGAGAGATGGGACGAGCTCCCCAAATATTAGTGTTTAACCTTTGTTATTTGATAGTCCATCTTTATAGGGATCCGCTATTGGAGAGTGAGTTCGCCGCACTCCCTACTCAAGGGAGCTAGGTCGCTACTCGTAAGATGGGTGCTAAGGTGAGTTAAAGTTGTGTCCCCTAATTCTCCTTTGAAGCAAGCTTCTTCTAAATGTTATGCCCATTTATGTCCTTGGCAGGAGGGAGCCGAGCTAGCAAGTGGGGAGCTCGCCTCTTTAGATATGACATATTGCACTCTATATCAGAGCATTGCACTAATCAGAAGATTGGAATTAGGTGTCATACAACAAAAAGTGCTACACCCTAGAAGCCTCCTCTTGAACTCATGTGATATTGTGAGACCCTTCAGTACAATGAAGTTGAACTCTTAAATATTGAAACATATTTGGATTTAATGATTGAAATATTGTTAGAAACTTTATAGCATTTTAAAAAGAAAAGTTAACTTACTCATTCTCTTCTTTATCCAGTTTGGGATAAAAATATTTTATGGTGAGAACCACCTCTTAAACATGTAGAGACCATTTCTAGAGCCCCGTTTATCATGTATGACTTTGGATTATGTGTAAGGTCTTTGAAGAAAACTTAAGTCACTTTAAATTATTATGAAATCTCTTTAGTATATTGTAATCAAACTCTTAAACATCGATTCTGTTTAATTTATTTGTTAGAGTTTAGTTTAGAAACCCTAAAATTAAGGTTTTGATGCTAGAGCACTCTTACAATTGGTGACACCGTGAAAAGTTGCACTAAGTAAACAAATATAAAACGTAATAGGCTAAAGGAGGTGAATCTTTAATGGATGAGATTTTGGATTGTTACACAGCAGAACTCTACAAAGTTATTGAGGAGATTGTTCTTGAGTATGTTATGCTAAAGCATGCTATCAAATTGATGTGTTATCTATATGATTCAGCTAAGTGATAGTATTGTTCTTGAGTTCGGTGTAAAAAATATTGAGTGATAGCGGCTCTTTATTAAAAGGGAATAAAGCCACGACATGATTTTCATATACCGGTAAGAGAACTTCATCGTTTGAACTCTATTGGGATAGATGGATGCTACCAGTTTTGTCCGCATATTTTGCTTTCTGAAGATTTTATGGTGTAGAAGTTTTTCCAGATCACGTCTAGATTTCAACTTACACTACGCAGAAGAAATATGTTAGTTGATTAGATTGCATACATATCTTAAGGCTTTAAAACCAAAGTTCCAAAGTCGTACTCAGTCTGCCTTCATATTTTTCGGAGCATTTTATGAACCAGCATTTTTTTTTTTCAAGCTAAAGTGCAATTACAGTTAAAAGGAATTTTTTTAAGCTAGTTTATATTATGAGTGACTTGATTTATACTTCAAATCATCTTTCTGCAATGAGAGGTATAACCTTTTTAGCATTTTAATCTTATAGTAACCTCTCTTTATCTGAAGTCCTTATGAATGCATATCATAAGTAACTGTTTGAGAAGATTAATCTGATGCTGATCTCTTCTAATAACATCTAAATTTTTTTTGTATTTTTACTTGCAGTGCTTTGAGGTTAAGCTTTTCTGGTAATCTGAATCCTTTAATTCATTGTGCATGTCGGCCCCATTAGCTTCTGCCAGTGAGGTGGAACCACTCCCATCCTTTTCACAAAGAGATAGCCAATCATTTGATGCAAGTTGCTTCTACAGGGATCCATCACTGCCCAATGGACAAGCTTATCATTTACGTGATGCAACTTTTTGTGAACTCCTACTTCCCAATGGGGATATGTACTCGGGAACAGTTTTGGGCAACACACCCGAGGGTTCAGGAAAGTATGTCTGGTCAGATGGTTACTCTTACGAAGGCGAATGGCGGAGGGGAATGATGCATGGTAATGGAAAACTTTCATCACCTTCAGGAGCATTTTATGAGGGAGATTTTTCTGGTGGCTATATGCATGGTTCTGGCCTTTATGTCGGGCCAGATAAGTCAACCTATAATGGACGCTGGAAGCTGAATCTCAAGCATGGGTTAGGGCAGCAAAACTTTCCTAATGGAGATGTTTTTAATGGTTCGTGGATTCAAGGAAGTATTGAAGGGCTTGGAAAATATATCTGGGCTAATAAGAACGTTTATGAAGGTTATATGAGAGGAGGTAAGATGTCAGGTAAGGGAACCCTTACTTGGGAAGATGGGGATTCCTATGAAGGGAGTTGGTTAGATGGTATGATGCATGGGTATGGGGTTTACACCTGGAATGATGGTGGCTGCTATGTTGGTACGTGGACTAGGGGTTTGAAGGACGGGAAAGGAACCTTCTATCCAGAAGGAAGTAAAATACCTGCTGCCCAAGAATGTTACATTAACGCTTTGAGGAAGAGAGGGCTACTTCCTGATTTGAAAAGGCAAATTCATAGCTCTCGCATTCTTCATTCTTCTTCTATTGATATGGGAATCATTAAAGTTAGTGATACTCGAGCATCTACTGGCATCTCATCTGACAATCTGCCTAAAGGTAATCTATTAAATTTTGAACAGTCCCGTGGGGGAAATGTAGCCCTGGAGAGACGATGGAGCCTTGAGGTAGCAATTGAAAAGGTGATAGGCCACAATTCAGTTTTAAGTTCTGGTGACAGTTTCCGCGAAAGTGAGAAATCAGTTGATGCTAATGTTCCAACTTTAGAAAGGGAATACATGCAAGGGGTTCTTATTAGCGAGCTCGTGATTAACAATAGCTTTTCAGTGTCATCTAGAAGCGAAAGGAGGCGTCAGAAGAAGTTAATTGGCGTAAAAAAGCCTGGGGAGACTATAATCAAGGGCCACAGAAGTTATGATTTGATGCTTTGTCTGCAGCTTGGAATCAGGTAAGTTCAGCTCTTCACTCTTCATATTAAAATGAGCTCTGGGATGCATGCAGGTTCGGCCTGCATGCATGATGTGATTTTATGCGTGAATATAAATGTAAAGTAGTAGTTATGTATGCTTGTGAAGAGGGACACACTTGCAAATGAGACTTAGCATCTATTGATGCACATACCAGTTCAAAAAGTAAATATTATTCCCATCTAATATGTTAACGTTAATGATTAAAAATTAGCATGATATTTTCTAAACGGGGGCAGTTTGAGTCAACTTTGTTTTTTTTTATTATTATTTTTTTTTTCTTTATTTCTATTTTGATTTGAAATAAAACATGTTTGACTTGTAGAAATAAATCAACTTGTTTTTAAAAATATTTAAAATATTTTTTAGTTTTTCTGAGTGTTTTGAGAAATAATTTGATTTTGTTAAAAAAAATTAAAATATATGAAAAATATAGTGAATAGTATAATTTATAAAACAAAGGTAAAAACACAAGTAAAGAAAGAAAAAACAAATTGATTTCAAATAGTCCCTTAAGTACTACAATATGGATGGTAGCTTTTAGTTTCCTAAACATCCGAAGAGTTTCTCCAATGCTTTCTCTGACCTAGCCAAGTCTTGGTAGCCTAGGATAATGCTTTCTTTAACAGATATTTTTTGGACTGTTAAAGTTTGCATACAGCATGTATTATCCACATTTTAACTGGTTATGAAATTTTTGTATTAAACAAAGCGAGCTTCAAAGCTTTTTTTGTCATGATATTAATATTCTGTCTCAAAATGATTGCTGAGTTTACATATTGCCTAATTAATCCTTAAACACCCTAGTTATTAACTGCCACATAATAGAATATTTTTAAAACTTATAGCACATTTTTTCTTTGATTTTTTAAATCGCGGATGTGTTTGTTCTATTTTTAAATCCTCAGATACACAGTTGGAAAAATTACACCAATACAAAGGCGTGAAGTTCGTGCATCGGATTTTGGTCCTCGTGCAAGCTTTTGGATGGATTTTCCAAAATCTGGCTCTCAATTAACACCTTCCCACCGCTCAGAAGATTTCAAATGGAAAGACTATTGTCCCATGGTATTCAGGTTAGTTATGAGAATATTTATCTTTTTGAAGAAGTTCTAGCTATGCTTTGTCAATAAGTGAAGTTGTGTGAAGTCAACTATGTCAAAATACATTCATTTATTTATGTGTGTTCATCCCTACAGAAATTTAAGGGAAATGTTCAAGATTGATGCTGCAGACTACATGATATCAATTTGTGGAAATTCTGCATTGAGAGAGCTTTCTTCACCAGGGAAAAGTGGCAGTGTCTTTTTCCTCTCTCAGGATGATCGGTTTATGATCAAAACACTACGCAAATCTGAAGTGCGGGTATTTTTCTCGGTTAACGAAAATGATGGTTATATTTTAAGCATTGCCTCAAAGAGGATCAAAGTTGGGCTAGATATACTAGTGGTCAAACTGGTTTTAAATCCTAAAGTTTAAGCCTATAGGTGAAGGATCAAAAGTATACTAGATATACTAGCGGTCAAACTTGTTTTAATTCCAAAAATTTAAGCCTGTAGATGAGGATCAATCATATAATATTTCTAAATCAACTTATTTCTCATCTATCAATTGTTAATAAAAAAACAAAGCTTTATGTGCTTCAATAATCTCGCTCTCATATTAGAGCTCCTGTCTAATGAAAATTTTATTAAGAATTATAAGTCAAGAACCCGATCAATTAGGTTATACGTTGAGAGAGTCACTTGTCCTTGAATTTTACTTAACCATAGCATAATCAATCAAAAGTTTCATAGACTCACAAGTTGCAGGAACCGCAGACTATAAATCAAACTTGAGACACATACACCAATTATCAAACTTGGTTCAGCTAAAAGTTTAAGCCTTTAAAGCTATGGGTGCAGGCGGACTGATTGATATTCTATAATAGTATATTCTTTTAATTATCTGATAAGAATTACATCAAGAACCCGATCAATTATGTTATACGTTGAGAGAGTCACTTGTCCTTGAATTTTACTTAACCATAGAATAATCAATCAAAAGTTTCATAGACTCACAAGTTGCAGGAACCGCAGACTATAAATCAAACTTGAGACACATACACCAATTATCAAACTTGGTTCAGCTAAAAGTTTAAGCCTTTAAAGCTATGGGTATCATAGAATAAAAGATAAGTAAGCCCAATGCTTTACACGTATTATCACCATTATATGGCTATGAAAGTTGAATACCTTGTAAAGTTTGTCCATCATATTTCTATGATATACTTTTTTATGATATAGATGAAATATCTGCATCATTTTGTCTCATTTGCTACTTTGAGTAGAAATTTCTATTGTCTGCAATATTTGACTTTGTCAGCCGGACTTTAAGCCTATACTTAACAACATCTTGGAACTTATTAGCTTAGGGCTTTACTAGATAAAGGATTTAGAGTACTTTTATGTGGATTAAACCGTTTACAGTGTCTCAATTACATCCGTTAAGAGAGCATATTGTGTTATATTTGAGATGGACTTCCATTTGGATATGGTCCATTTACCAAGAATTTTGTACATTAAGATGGCAAATGTTTAACCATCATGCTAATAGGGAATTGAAAAATTAAATTATAATTTTGTACTTTCAGGATTTTAAGCATGATGCGTGGAAAAAATAAGAAAAGTAGATTAAAGAATATTTATATTGGAGTGGCAGTTGGTCTGATATCTACTGTAGTTGAAAATAAATTTAGGTGGTTTGAATTAAGTACAATAAATGATAAAAAATTCATATATTGAACTGACAAATAAAATTAATCAGGTAGGAAAGCGATCGACTTAGAAAACATAAATAAAACTTATTCAAAATAATTGCAACAAATAGTCTTAATAACTCGTGCAATGATGATGCTAACTTGCAGGTGCTGTTGCGGATGCTGCCGAACTATCATCATCATGTAAAAACTTATGAGAATACTCTTATAACCAAATTTTTTGGTCTTCATCGGGTGAAACCTTCTAGTGGTCAAAAGGTAAAAGCTGGATACAAATAGTGATTTGTTCAACGTTTATACAGATTTATACATTTCTCCTTTTTGAACTGCAGTTCCGGTTCGTTGTAATGGGAAACATGTTTTGCACAGAATTAAGAATTCACCGTAGATTTGATTTGAAGGGATCCTCCCTTGGGCGTTCTTCTGACAAAATTGAAATTGACGAGAATACAACACTCAAAGACCTGGATTTGAATTATTCCTTTTATTTGGAGCCTTCATGGAGGGAAGCTCTACTCATGTAAGGGAATATCCACGGTATTTTTTTTTTCTTTTATACGTTTAGTTTATGGATATTTGTTATTTTATCCTTTTTTTTATTATTTGCGGTAGGCTACCTTTCAATGGTAAATAGGTTAGTATGAAAGTTTCTAATGGGACTATTACCTTAATCTTTAACGTGAACCTATTGAGTAGTGTTTATAAACAAATAAATTACTTCTTTACAGCCTTAGTTTATATTTGTATTTTACATCATGTAGATTATGTTGATTCTAATAGGTTGGGCTATGAGTACACTTACGGTTATTATATAATAGGGATCAAAATGGGATTTTGGATTATCATCTAATAATAGCAAACAAATAAGTTAAATAGTGAGGTCAATGCTTAGTTGGTCCTATAAAAAAAATTATATGATGATTCATATTGCTACACAATAGAGTAATAAGTTAAATTTTAATGACGGTCATCACCATCAACATTAGCTTTATTCCAACAACTATTTAGGGTTGGTTTTATATATCCTTATTCTGCATTTGTTCTAGTAAGTGCTTGAGATATTAAATCTATTCTATGTAAATATTTCTTGTATAATTTATAGCCAATATTACCTTTAAATTATCCATTTTTCTTCTTGATCTTTTGACATTAATATTATTTGTCATTGTAATTAGTCTATTAAAGCAGGATTTTTAAATATCAAGTCATCAACAATAGTGAACAAATGTGTTAAATGGCGAGAGCAGCACTTTGTTCTACTAAAACCCAAATAGATGATTTTTTACAAAGAGATGTCAACCAACCCCTCCATTCCGGGAAAAAAAAAATCATGGAGAACATTAAGTGTTTCATATAACTACACAACATAGAGTACAATTATAATATCTATCTAGAAAACTATAAATAGATTAGTAACAAATTTTTAGTCATTAGTTTCATCTCACTTACTTATGGTTGATTTTATAAATCCTTACTATCCTTATTCTAATGAATTTACAAGATGGTAAATCTATTTTGTACAAAAGTTTTTAACAATTTCATTCCAGGTTATCTTTGGCCATTCATTTTTTTTTTAATACTTTGACGTTAAGTTTATGCACTCATCTTATTGGTCCATTTTATATCATTTGTTGTATGTTTTTAAACTACCTAAATTTTTTCATACTTAATAGATACTTCCTCTAATATCACTCTGATGTAATCATTTTTAAACTTTTGACTTTAGTTTTGTCATTAACTCATATATTTATATTAACTTTCTCATTTTATTTTAATACACAACATGTGATTTTTTACCGCCCATCACTCGACCATATAACATGGGATAATAGATGCAAAATCTTTTAGGGCATTGATTTTTTTGGTAGATGACCAAAGAATCACAATCAAATTTATGCCCATCTTGGTTGTTGGGATGCTAAAAAGCTCATAATAATGAGAGTTAGACTTCAATATATGAGAGGGCAACCTATTAATTAAAATTCTTTTCTACTCGATGCTTCATCCCATAATTTAGGTGATATAAAAGGTATAGGAACAAAGTTTGAACAACATCTAAAAGATGTAGGAACACCTTTTTGTTGATGTATAATGGAACATGATCACTTCTTTTATTTTGTTTTTTTTTAAATAGTTATGAAATTTAAATGAAATATTCATCCCTAAAGTCGATTTTAATATTTGGATGCATGATAAGAAATAAATTTCAATATATGCTACAACTTTCTGAAAGACAATTAATACTTTAGATTTTCTTATGAAAAAAATTCCAAATAAGCTTGTTGTAATGGTCAATGATTGCCACAAAGTCGTTAAAATTTGCATGTGATGAATCAAATCAAAATGATTTTCATCAAGAGTACCATGTAATGGAGAAGAAAAACTCCTATTTTTTTCAATTTTATATTTTGAGCAATCGAAAGAAATATGAGAAGAGAATTAATTTTTATTGAATTGACAAACAAATTAGGGTTGATTAAATGAGATAAAATAGTGAAGTTCAACCGACTTTATCATTTGTGCCTTAAATAGTCATTTTGATTTATTGTATTTATGGCAACAAGACAACTTCATAAATGAAAGGAGGGTAAGTGAAATAGTCATCTAACTTTATGTCCCTTCACAGATATTTTCTCCTTCACCTAATCTTACAAAACCCAATTATCACCTAAATTAAATGTCATAATTATTCAATTAACCTTTCTATTAAAATAAGATTAATAGAAAACTTAAAACATACAAGAACATATTTTATGAAAGAATTTATAACCCTAATAATTTTAATACATAATGGACTACCATTTCTGATCTGAATAGATAATGATCTATTTTATGGTTTAATATTGCAAGATGTGAAATTCCAATCATATTATTAGATACTCCATAACCCACTAGCCAAAATGAAGGGAGTAGTGCATTTGTACAATAACCCACTAGCCAAAATGAAGAGAGTAGTGCATTTGTACAAAAGTTAGGAAGCTATTATAGAATATGAGAAATAAATGAGGCAATAAGAAAGGCATAAAAAAAAAGATAGTGATATTGATTGAGACATGTGAAATAGAAATTAGGATAATAAGATCTTAGCTATGATGCAATGATATAAACACCAAGATAAAATCACAATATGATAAGAACAAGGGGCATATTTATCATTAAAAATATAAGATATGGATATGAGATATTTATTTTGAAAAATATAAGACGAGAACACACATCATAAATGTTATTATAATTATATCATAAATTTTTAAAAAAAATTATATAATAATTACACAAATTAAATAAATATGAAGTGAACTCATACGATGATAAATTTATTTCAATAGCTCAAAAAGTGCAAGATATTTTTAAATTTATAGTTACATGATATTATAAATTCTTAATTTTAAGTTGTCAAAATTGGTTTTTTGATAAAAAGAATAAAAAGGAGAAATTAATTGGGCGATAGAGTAAAACCGGCGCTAAGTAGATATTCAGTTATATAATTGATATTTTTTAAAATGAACAAGTGATAAGTTATTTCTATAATATGCTTTTAAAGTTAAAATTTCTTATTCAAGAAGCATTTTACTTACATGTGTACATTATTTTTATTTATTGTAATTGGACACTTATTCAAAACATATCAAACACACGTCGAGAAAGTGTATGGATTTTGCGTGTATCCAACACCACATGCTTTATTACTACAAAGTGTTGGTGTATTATCTAATCTTAAGATTAAAAATGATGTTAAAATAATTTTTTAAAAAAATTAGTTTAAAAAATAATTATTAGTTAATACTTTAAACAAGATTTGTATTAGTAAAAAGATGAATGGAATTAGGAAATATGTTGTTGATGTATCTGTTAAGATGAAGTAACTTTGAAGATGATGCATAAAAGCAATTATCTAAGTTCAGAAGCCTATATTGATTTTGGAGCTTGAGTAGATTTTGGAGAACTATGATTAAAAATCATCCAATTCAAATTTTAAAATGAAGGCAAATGATTCAAGAAGAAACATCATATGATCAGTATGCAGAAATAAAAAAAAAATCTTCTTAATGATCGATGAAATGTAATATAGGAGATAGTGATAACACAACAACAGGAAAAGACTCATGATTGAATTGCGGATCATTTTATTTTATTTTTCAATAGAGAAATCTATTATCTAAATGATTTTAATCTTAAATAATTATAATATAAACTTGAAAGTAAAATGATCTTCAAGCAATATTGTTACTCTATTGTACTTCATGGGATTGGATAGACAACTTTTTGTACGACAACAATGTTATTAAGTTCTTATTTCTATAAATAATCATGTAGCAATACAAGTTACCATTGTGGAGAAAACTTTTTTTTAATGGAACGGTAATTTTGGTGACCGAATAAAAATCGTTGTATATTCTTTTCAATGCTATTTAAATGTTGAAACTTCCCTTTGAGATTGGCTAGTGTAAAGACGAAATGCAACTGAATTAATTTGTAATCCTGTGTGGGTTCATCTTAATTCACTTTCATTTAACTACTTTATGCTAAGGACTAAGATAATTTTTAGAATGTGGCTTCCTGTGAGGAAATTTCTTTTGCTTTGTAATTTTAATCACAGTCACCCCAGCTTTATTTTCTGTATTTCTGCAGGCAGATAGAGATAGATAGCAAATTTTTGGAAGCACAGCGTATTATGGATTATAGCCTTTTATTAGGCGTACATTATAGGGCTCCAACGCATTTAAGATCACTATCTCAACGAAGAAATGTTGCATCAGATAGACTGGCTATTCTTTCTGAAGAAGGTAACAACGTGAAATGCCGTGAATTTCCTTGTAGTTTTCTCATAATAAATCCAACTCTTTAATCTCTAGCTCACTTTCCTTGCAGACTTATTTTCATATATGTAGTGTAAGTAATTACTCCAATGCAGATCATAGATAGTAGGGAGATTGAGGATGAATTGTACAGCTAAAAGAACATTCATTAGTTTTTTTTTCAAGATATGTTCTTGAAGAACTTTCCAAAAACTGGCCTTTCAATGGAATACAGTGATATCAACTTTGTCAACATAGCAATTGGGTAGAAACATTGTATAATGGATAATGATGATAGAAACAAGGGTTGTAATATGGAGAAACTTATTCCATGTTCTCAGAATTCGTCTGTTGTATTTAAAAATATTTGAGTTTTTTTTTTTTTTTTTCATTTTGCTTTTTGTGTGCTCGCACTTGCCATTCTTTCTCAAGTTTCTGTTAAATTAAATGTATTTCACCTTATCTAAAGAAACCATGGTAGATTTATCGTTCAGCTGCACATCTCTATAACTTGCTCAGAATCCGAAAGATTTTGTCGCACTAATGTTGAGGTGATATGATTCATTTGCAGCACAAGAAGATGACATTTCTAACTATCCAGAAGGCCTTGTTTTGGTTCCTCGTGGGGGTGACGGCAATGGCGTTGTAGTGGGGCCCCATATTAGAGGCAACCGCTTGCGTGCATCTGCAGCTGGTGACGAGGAAGTGGATCTTCTACTTCCAGGCACAGCAAGGTAAACACCAGCAAATTAAGACTAGTTTCATAAGTTTTGTTTGGGTTTTGGTCTAGTTGTTTGGTTGTTTTGATGTTTAGTTTTGTTTTTCTTTTTTAATTTTAGAAGATATGTCAAACATAAAATATTTTTTTTTTGCTAGATTTTTAAGTTATAAATATAAACACTTTGACAAAATTTAAAAGTTTAGAAAGCTACATACATGCCATACAATTCTTTTATATTTACATAACTAACACCTAAATTTTCATATTTACATTTATAGGAAAGTGCAAATTTTCATTAGGAAGCAATTTATTTTTTTTATCTCAGAATATTCTCTACTAATGATGTTTCCTTTTATTTATATTTCCTTTTTTATGTTCTTCCTGATTTAGAGGGATTTCTCTTTTGTTTTTTTGTTATTTATATCTATGTTGTGTAATGTAATGTATGAAAAATAATAGAATAAATTTTTAAAATTTTTCTTCCGGATTCAACATGTTATCAGAGCTATAACCTTAAAATCCTCCATCTTCGTTCTCGACTGGAACCTCTTCTCATCTGTGAAGTCAAAGCATGTTGTGGCCTCTTTGCATCTCGTGTTGTTGTGTTCTCTACATCTCTACTGCGTCTCCAAAATTCTCCTATTCTTGTCACCTTCATTGGTGTTTCCGTTCTCTATCTTCGATGTTGCCTTCGACGCCTTCAATGACATCTCCATTTTCTATGTTTGGCGCTTCCTTCAACGTCTTCATCTCCAACGGCGTCTCCATCTCCATCTCTCTCATATGCACATGTCGCAAAACCCGATGAAGATCTTTGCAGTTGTCGTCTACATACATGAGTCGTTTGGTTTTCAACTCTTCCGTTCGACATCTTGGCTTCGTCTTCGCGTGTCTGACTCGGAGTTAATTGAGTGTTCTGTTTGATTCACTCGTCTCCTCACGTCCTACTCAAACGAAACATGCTTCATCTTGGTTTTTTATAGTTGGCTACATTGGTGGCTAAGTTAGCAAATTAGTAGGCTTTTAGTCATTGATTTGGCTTGCTTTAGCCGACAACTCACAGTTCGTTGGCTTGAAAAAGGTCTGATCAGCTCTCGTCTAGTGTCACGTGTGGAAGCAAAGAGCTATGCACCTCTCTCTAGTTCCTATTTGGTCAAACAGTTGAACTAAGGATACTTCTTTTACTTTTATCTAATCATGATCAAATACGACATGGTCTCACAATCTTCATCATTTAAAGTCACTCAAGATCTTAGCCTTCATCTTCAGCTTCTGTCGTGCATGATAACTTCTCTCATCTAGTCACGAACCATAAATTATATAGTCATAGTTTTCTTCTATGATTTCAGTATGGCTTCATGTACATTTGTGTCTGAGGAGATGGACATTTCATAGGCAGAATTTTGATACCAAAAATGACATTCCAAATATCGGGCTTGAAAAATGGACCACCGCATGATCATGTCATGGTTAATAAATTTCATGACCACGGAGGTTGGGGAAAACTTTTTTTACTCTATTGGACAGCGAAGGTAGATATGGGAGGCTACACGTGAAACCTACTCTACCACTGAAAATTCATCATAGTTATTTGAAATTGAGACTAGACTACATGATCTTGATAAGGAGAATTGATTTACTCAATTTTCAATATACACACGTTGTTGGCTACAATTGGACATGCATGAGGTTTGCCCTTGAAATTTCTTGTATTTTATAGAGAAGAATTACTAACAAAAAAGAATGAGGGAGAATTTTTTGGGAGGGGGGGGGGGGCTTTTGTAGAATTTCGAGGGGGGGGGGGCAGAACAGAAAGAAGTTGATGATGACAGACAACCAGACCACACCATCTGTTGAAGGGTCAGCCTTGTACACTCAAAACTTCTTTCATTATAGCAAGCCCAAGAAAAGACGGTCATGATGCGACCATTGTAAAAATCTTGGTCTTGTGAAGGAAAAATGTTGGAAATTACACGTCAAAACCTTCATATTGGAAGTCATATAATCGAAAATATGATAAGGAGGACCGTGCAAATATTGCTACCACTACCAACAATAATTCTAAATTTTGCTCATTCACGAGGGAGCAAATTGAAGCACCGAGAATGTTCAATCCCAGTTCTGAACAAGTATCACAATCCTCTGTCGAAAAACCTAACAGTTTGTTACCCCTCAGGGTATCTTATCACATGTTTTTAGTGTGTGAAGCAATAAATTAAAACCTTGGATGGTTGAATTCGGAGCCTCAGATCATATGAAGGGAGATATCACTTTCTTCAAAAATTACAACTAGTATACCAGTCACTATGCAGTTTGAATAGCTAATGGTTAATTCTCATCAATAGCAGGATTGGATCAGTCAACTTGACAAAGGATCTTAATTCCTACTATGTTCTTCAAAATATAAACTACAACTTGTTCTCAATCAACAAACTTACTCCTGATTTAAGATGTATAATTAATTTTTTTTCTAGTCATGATTTCTAGGTGATAAATTCAAGGAAGGTGATTGACAGTACTGAGATACATAGTAGTTTATATTTGCTCAATGAAAATAACTTTAGTGGTAGGCAAGGTAATCCATCAAGGTATACTTCTAAATCTAGTTCAAATTTTGTTAATGTAGTTTCACTTGAAAATAAGTCGTGTTAAGTCATTGTCATCTTGGTCATCCAAATTTTACGTGCATGAAAAAGTTGTTTCCACATTTATTTCTCCATAAAAAACCTATATTTTATCCATGTGAAACTAGTCAACTTCCAAAACATACTAGACATGTATTCTAAATTACAATGTAAGCCTTAGCATTATTTTTCTCTAATTCATAGTGATATCTGAGGATCCTTACTAGTAAATAACATAATGGGGCACGATGATTTGTATCTTTTATAGATGATCATACGAGAACAACATAAACATTTCTCATGAAAGAAAATTTTGAAACAACTATCATATTTTAATCATTTATTCCATAATCCAAACTCAACTCCAAAGCAAAATTCAAAGTTTTAAAATAGATAATGCTAAGGAACATTTTCATTTCATCCTTAGTCTTTATCTTTCCAAGTATGGTATTATATATATATATATATATATATAATTCCCAGAATCAGCGCAGAATAATAAAATAGGGTTGCTGCAAGGAAAAATAAACACTTGTTTGAAGTGATCCGTGCTATTATGTTGTTTAATCATGATCAAAATATTTTTTGGGGGAAGTCATTCTCACAGCTACGTAGCTCATCAATATGATGCTTAGTCAAATCCTAAATTTCAAATTCCCCTTAACGTTCTCATGGAATTCTATCCACACATTCATTATCTTTTTTCTGACTTACTATTAATGGTCTTTGGTTGTTCTGCCTTTGTTCACATCCATTAACAATATCGCATCAAACTTGATCCCAAGTCTCTCATTTGCATCTTCCTCGATTTCTCCTTCAATCAAAAAGGGTACAAATATTATTCCCCAACTACTAGAAAAATTTACAACTCTACGGATGTTACCTTTGTTTGTTTGAAAATCAATTTTATTTTACAAATTTAAAATTCGGGAAAGAGCTCGAGAGCATATCAGGTTTAGGATCTTTTCGAAGATAGTCAAATTATTTTTCCTTCAAATGAATCAAACCCTACTACTCAACTAGCTCCACTTAAAAATTCAAACTCTGTCACAGAAACTATCCCAATTATTTGTATTTCACCTCAACACCAAACCAATGATCAAGAACTTCATGTCTACTCCAGAAGGATTACTAAGCATGTAGATACTATGCACACTCCAGATTGTCAAGAGCCTGCACCAAAACCTCCTAATTCTTATAATTATAGTAGTATGGATTTCTCATCTCATGACTCTCTTATACCATTTGATGATGACATTAATAAACCAAGCACAAATAAAAAAGGCATTCGAGGGTGCACTGATCATCCAATTAAAAGATGATCAGACAAATATAGACTTGTTGTCAACAAATGGATATCATCTTATAGAGTGTTTGTGACAAACCTTAATAATGTGCAGGTTCTCAATTCTATCCAGGAAGTCCTAAAGGTTCCTATATAGAAACAAGCAGTTGAGAAAGAACTTTGGGCTCTATAAAAGAATAATATATGGATACTTATATGATACCTCATGGGAAAAACGACCTAGGCTGCAAATGGATATTCACAATTAAATATAAAGGAGATAGAAGTATAGAAATTCAAAGCTAGACTAGTAGCCAAGGAATTCACAGAGTCATATGGGATTGGCTATTAAGAAATATTGCACATGTTGCCAAACTTAATATAGTTCGGGTTCTATTCCCTCTTTCAGTGAATTGAAATTGGCCTTTATACTAACTTGATTTCAAAAAATCAATAATGATGACCTTATTGAAGAAGTATACATGAGTATGCATAGATGCTTGAAAAATAGGTCAAACAACACCTTGATTTGCAAGTTGAAGAAGTCCTTATATGACTCAAAGCAATCTACTTGTGCTTAGTTTGACAGGTTTGCTAAAATAGTGATCACAAATGGATATCATTAGCGTCAAGCTGATTATACAACATTTGTTAAATCTTATCATAAAGCCATAATTAATATTATTATAGTATATGTTGATGCTATTATTTTGGCAGGTGATGCTTCAGAAGAAATCATTTGACATGTTAAGGAAAGAATTGTTACATTATAAAAGAAGTACATCTTAGACATGTTAAGTGAAACTGACATGCGTGGGTGCAAACCTGTTGAAACACCCACGAATTTTCAACAAAAGGTTGAACGGAAGTGAAGGAAACTGTCCAATCGATAAAGGAAGATATCAAATACTTGTGGGGAAAATACTTTATATCACACACAAGACCTAATATTGCTTATACTCAATTAGTGTAGTAAGTCAGCACATGAATAACCAAATGAGGATCATTTGGAAGTAGTAAACTAAATCCTGAAATACTTAAAGTTGACCCTAAGATATGGTTTGCTTTTCAAAAGAATTGAAAACTGTGAGATAGAGGTCTACACAGATGCTAGTTGGGCAAGAGATGTAACTGATAGAAAAGCAACCACTGGGTATTGTTTATACGTGGGGCAATCTCATCACATGGAGAAACAGAAAGCAAGTTGTTGTCTTTCAGAGAAGTGCAGAATTTAAATATCATGCTTTTGCACTAGGAATATGTGAAAGAATGTGGATCCAAAAGGCTATTAAAGGAGCTAAAGGTTGAGACAAAATACACAATCAAGATGTTCAATGACAGTCAAGCAACCATTAGTATAGCCAAGAATTTGTGCATCATGATAGAATAGAACACATTGAAATTTTCTGACAGTTCATTTCAGAAAAAGGTTAACAATAGAATTGTTCAGTTTAGCTTTATTCCCACAAGACTTCAAATTGTTGATATTCTCACCAAAGGATTACCAATGGTCAATCATGATGAATTGAAATACATATAATATATACAACCCAGCTTGAGAGAGAGTGAAGTGTAAGTTCTCATTAGGAAGGAATTTATTTCTTTCTCTCATAATATTCTCCACTAATGACATTTCCTTAAATTTTCTATTTTATGTTCTTTCCTATTTAGAGGGATTCTTGTTTTATTTCTTTTGTTATTTATATATATGTTATATAATGTAATGTATGAGAAATGATCAAATGCAATTTTTTTTCCGGATTCAAAAACATTTACAATACAATGGTGTCATAAACCTATGCATGAAAATTTATATTTAACTTTTTAAAAATAAATGATAGTGATATTTTTTATATTATATTAAAAATTTGAGTATTATTCAAGTAAATTTTGAAGTATGGGTGTTATGTTATATATGTAAATACATAAGAATTGTATGGTATGTATGCAAATGCCCTTTAAAAATTTTGTTCAGTATTTTGATGATTTTAGTCAATTCCTTGTAATTTCATGTTGATTCACCTCCAATAAAACTATAAAGCCAATCCTAAACTAATCTAAACGAATAGACTGTCAATTTTGGGTAACTTCCGGCCAAAATTTATACAGACTGAATTGGTTAGGTTTAGGGCTTGTTTGGGATCAATTTTATCTTTTGCTTTTGTTTTTAAAACATGATTGTTTAGTGTGCTTTTTAATTTTTTTTATATTTTATCTCTAAAAGTAATAAACATGTTTTTGAAAACACTCAAAGCAACTATGAGGTGTCATAAGTTTTAAAAAACAACTACATCTTAATGAAACATATCGAACATGTTTTATTTCAAATCAAAACATAAACAAAAAAAAAAGAAAATAGAAAATAAAGAACATAAACGATTCCAAACGGGCGCTTAAAAATTGAAAAGTTATGACTTGAGATTTGTTTTTGAAACACAAACCTCATAAAGTTATAAATCATTATTATGTTGCTCAGGCTACAGATACAATTGGGAGTAAACATGCCAGCAAGAGCAGAGCATATTCCCAAGAAAGATGATGATAAGCATATTTTCCATGAGGTTTATGATGTAGTCCTCTACCTAGGAATTATTGACATATTGCAGGCATACAACATAAGCAAGAAGATTGAGCATGCCTATAAATCCCTTCAGTTTGATCATCTCGCCATCTCAGCGGTAGATCCTCAATTTTATTCAGAGCGCTTTTTAAAGTTTATCCAAACCGTTTTTCCAAAAACCGATAGCTTTTAAATGCTCGGCCATGATGTGTATATTTGTTTTGGAACATTGTATTACTTTTTTTTCAAGAGGCCAAATTGTGTATTTTGATCCAGGATTTCAAAAGCTTGTAGAAAATCAAACATTTTTTTTTACAACTATTATAATATCAGCTAGGTATGTCTTTTCATATCCATTTACTGATCTCTCTCAAATATTTTAGATGTTTGGAGGCTGACCTGTTTATTACTGTCTTTTTTTTTCAAATGATTCATACTTATGCATGAATCTACTTGAGTTTCATATGCCTTTGTTTTTTTTTTTTTTTGTCAAATTTATACAATTTAAAAAATGCAGACTCTGTTTTTCCGACCATTCTATAATCTTCTGAATAATGATGAAGTTTTTTTTCTAGAGAAACATGTCTAAAGCTGTTTCTAACTACAATGCGTTCATGCACTAACCTCAACTTGTCATTTGAGATTGATTGTATACACAGATGTGCATTGTGTGCATATTAAAGCTATTATTGATTGAATTTCTTGTGAAAATAAGTAGTGTTGTTTTAAATATTTGTAGTTTGAAATACAGATGTGGGTTTCTTAATCGCCCGAGTTTAATTAATTCAAAAGCAGATCCAGACCCCTTTTGAAAGCATCCTTTCAGTACAACCGCCAACTCTTGAGGCTAAAAAAAAAACCATGAAAAGACCTAAAAAATTGAGAATAAAAGAAGATATTTAAAATCTCATGGCCTACCTGCGGAAAACCTGGGCGTGCAAGATCCTTGTCGTCACGGTTATAAAGAAAACTAGTAGGGTTTTCCTCATTACAAGGAACAGAGACGATTAATTCAAGTTGCCATTAGAGGTGATGCAGCTGCTCCGAGAGCGATATCGCTTGAACATCCCATTGCTCGACCTCTTACTGATCGACTTTTGCGATGGCATCAAAACCGATAAGCCACCTGAAGAACTTTCTCGTCCGGCGAGAGGAAGCGGCGGCGGGTCAAGGGAAGGGAG